CTTAGCATATCACGGAAATTGTCTGGATCGTAGTCTTCGTGATCACTGGCAAACTCGCTGTAAATTCCCCATGAAAGTGATAGCTGCCTCGATGTTGCCATCACAGGAGATATGGCAAGGATAGGCGTACCAGGGCGGCTCTGGGAGGCCTTGAGTGCCGTACTCCCACCGCAGGTAAAACTAACGATTGCTTTTGCGTTGACGGTTCTTGATATTTGTCTTGCGGCAACAATAATGGCGGATGCCGCAGAAGAGTCCTGTTGCGGATCAAAGGATTGCAAGTATCGGTCATAATGTGGGTCACTTTCGACTCGATTGATGATTCGCTGTTGCATAGCAACAGATTCTTCGGGGAAGGCCCCGGCAGCACTTTCGGCACTCAACATGATCGCATCGGCACCATCATAAATGGCCGTGGCAACGTCGGATGCTTCCGCACGAGTCGGTGTGGGGGACTCGATCATGGAYTCAAGCATTTGTGTTGCAACAACAACAGGTTTTCCTTGCTCTCGGCATTCGTCAATGATTTGCTTTTGCAGAATTGGAACGTCTTCTGGAGCACATTCGACACCCAAATCTCCACGCGCTACCATGATTCCATCACACAAGTGAACTATATTTGCAAGAGAATCGCCATCGAAGCAACTAGGTTTTTCAATTTTTGCCATGACATGTGGTCGATGAGCACCGGGAGGGTTGTGGTAATTAATCAGACTAATGATTTCCTCAATGTCCTCCGGACGTTGCACAAAGGATAGCGCGACCCAGTCGACGCCGATGCTCAGCATGTATTCCAAATCTGYACGATCTTTTGGAGTCAAGCAACTGATTTGYAAAATTGAATCTGGTGTATTTACACCCTGAGAYGGTTTTTATTGGTACAGCATTTTTAATGTTTTTTCAGTTGCATGTGGTCGTGCAAAAGGACAAACCAGAAGACAAGTCATTAGTAACCTAGTATTCCTACGAAATGACGACCAAAACAAAAAAGGGCAAGTYATTGAATATGATGATAAAACACATACCTTTTTGTCTTTGATTTTTCCGGGGACTTCAACTTCTGTGTCTAGAAACCCTGGTCCTTTTGCGACAACACGAACTTTGACTTTTCCGTCATCGATCAGCAAATTATCTCCGAYAGCTGAAGCTTCGATGATTTCTGGGTGGGGCAACAAAACCCGCTCGCTGGTTCCTAGAGTTTGGTCCAAATCGAACCGAAAGATTTGTCCCTTGACGAGCATTTCACCGTCGGGATTGGCAAATTGACCCACTCGTAGTTTGGGACCTTGCAGATCTCCCAAGATTGCGATCGGATGATCGTGCTTTTCCTCAACGGCACGTATGATGTCAAGGAGCTCCTTTTTCTGTGCGTGCTCTCCRTGACTAAARTTCAAACGAAAGACATCGGCACCTGCCAGAAACAGCTTTTCGATCATTTCGAAATCTGAACTGGCGGGTCCCAACGTAGCGAGTTGTTTCGTTTTCTTTCTCCATCGCTGAGATTGCTTATCGRCCGAACCGAAAGTTGGTTCGGCGACAGCAGTAGGAGCGTTACCAGCAGCAGCTGCATAGGCGGCTTTCATTTGAGCATCGTAGGCATCCATTCCGTTAAACAAAGAAGTGTCATAGTGATTGGTATTGGCAGAGGCGATCCCGCGCGAAGTAAAAGCTGCAGCAGGGTACGATGCTACCGCCGACAGGAGGGCAGCGGCAAGAGCTTTCGCTTGGATCTTCATCTCAATTCTTTCTTTTTGTTTGTGATGTTATTTTTGTGRCCTATTGCRTAYGACCTTGTTGATGCCACTGTTATTTGGTCAACGARTCGAATCCTCGTTCGTTGAAGAGGAACGACTGCAAATGCAACAGGAAATCATTTTTCCTGTRACACGTCGTGACACTGAATTCTGCGGATACGTTTTTGAAATTGTTGTTCGCGTTTTCCTCTTGGAAGCAATTTCAAATTTCAGATTTTTTGGCGCACTGGTTTCGTCGTAGCGTACGGAGATGACCAGGAACCGTTTACRATGACGTCAGACGAAAAATCTTTTTTTAGTCGCAGGAATATGGAATCGATCAACGATGACCTTGGGGGAAGGGGGCAAACAAGATTCTTCGATATTCCTACTACCTGCCCCAGCATTGATCGTGCGCACGGCTACTCGTGGTACCGTACTTTTCTGCAATGTTTTCTTTTGTTCATAGCACTAGTAATACTAGTAGTAGTACTACTACTTCAAAAATACGTACTAATAATCCTACCACTACTAATATTACTAGTACTAGTACTAACAACAGTAGAATTTGGTAATACTCCAAAGTATTACTAGCACTTGTAGTGCTACAAATCCAACATCAACAAGAAGAGCACAAGTGGTGCTGGGGTGGTATGGAAAAATCCTGATATTCTTCTTGTTGTTCTTGTTGCTTGTGCCTCCACCCGCAGCACCATCACCATGAGGACGACATATCACCAGCAGAATGACCACCAGTCAGCATTGCTAGCTTAAAATTTTCTTCTTGTGACACAGAGATAAGCAAATTGCTACCGATTCATCTCTCCGCTCATATTTCTGTCCAGTTTTAAATAATGAATGCCAGTAGGACTAGTAATAGTGTTACAGTACTACGACTAGCAACTGTTACCAATCAATTATTAGTGGTTCCTTTCAGTGCCCTTTCAAGAGTTTGAAGACCGCATGTAATGAAAACGGAAAAGACAAGAAGTCGAATTGTTCCATTCCTTTCTTCGTTTTTGACTCTTACTAGTGGTCGCATGTGAGGTACTGTAGTACCCAGCATTCATTTGCTGGCGACCGGCGTGTTCCCTGGGCTCCTTCTTGCTTGCAAGAATGTTGGAAAGCCACGAGAGACCCATCGAACCCAGATGCTCCGTGAACGAGCAAAGCGATCCCACGGCTGCCATGCGGCCACTTTGCAGTGCCTTCCGCGGGGAGCATTGCATCGCATCGCATCGCATCCTGTTTCGAACCACGACGAGGCAKGCACTGCGGAAAGCCGYGTACGGAAYACACGGCGAGGGGCGTCTTTGCCACTTGGTTTGTGTGTTTTCCGTCACTGATTTCCTCCGTTCTCTTCCACAACCGGTTCCCTCGCCCGTTGCGTGCGTTTGTCCTACGCATACACACACAGACACACACACAAGAATCCGTATCTTCCTGGTGCAGCCGATTCCAAGGAAACACGAAATCGGTGCAGCCCAAGTAACCCCGGTGATTCGACCCGACCCGACTCGACTCGACTCGATTCGGTTGGATCCGATTCGATTCGATTCGATTCGATCCGACCTTGTTTGTCCAAGGATCGCTCCCTCTCACAGCCCCAGGACCCGGTCCCACGCCCTGGTTCGCTCGGTTTGGTCCGTCTCGGCGCACGGCATCCTCTGTGCTTTGYGTTCCAGAGAGAGGGGCTGGTTGCCAAAGCCGTTCACCCCGGCGGGGGCCCGAGCCGGCGGAGGCGCACTTCCGCAAGCGTCCCTTCCGCTCCCGTCCTCGGTCCCTTCGGGGGGGAGTTCCTCCTCCGGAACCAGGCCGCGGGTCTGGACGCAGGAGCCGTCGGGGTAGACCACGCAGAGATCGACCGCGCTCCCGCTGCCCAGRTCGTTGCGGATCCCCGACAAGACGGCCCGGCGGACCAGGTCGACCCCCTCCTCCAGCGAGAGGTTTTGGGCCCAGCCGTCCTCCAGGACGGCCATCGCCGCGGCCCCCCCGCTGCCGAGTGCGCAAAAGGGGAGGTCCGCGTCGGTGGACCCGTGGGGGTGGATCGCTCTGAGAAAGGCCTTTTGCTTCCAGACCCCCCCGACGATGAGGTTGGCACCGATCCGGCCCCCGTTCCGGAAGAGGACGTCCCGAAAGACGCCGCAGATCCCATCGATCGAAACCGGGCGCATCCACAGGAGCGGCTGCCCCTTCGCGAAGCCTCCGGAGCCACCATAGTCCTGGTASAGCACCTCGGCGGCCTCTTTCTCGGTCGTTTCCGGCCGCTGGCCGCCCGAAAGGCCCCCGTTGCCGACGGTCCGGCCCCCCAGCTCGTCCATGGCCACCTGGTAGAGGACCTGCCGGGTGAGCTTGTCCAGGTCGGCCGAGGTCCCCGCGCCGCAGCACCGGCAGTTCGAGGCCAGCTTGTGGATCTTGTCGCAGGCCTTGTCGGCCACGAGGGTTTCTGCGGTGGCGCGCGTGTCGGCGGCCAGGACCACGCAGGGGCCGGAAGGCGGGGGGGTCCCTCCTGGTTTCGCTGCACCGTCTCTGGCGGCGGTGGCGTTGTGGTAGACGACGCAGCCGGCGATGGTRGTCCCCGTCTTTTTGAACGAGGACCGCAAGGGTGCCGGGAGTTGGGATTGCAGTAAAGCATCCGAGCGGAACCGGTCCTCCTCGCGTGGACGTGGTGGCTGTCCTGCTTGTTGTTGTTGTTCTTGTTGTTGTTCTTGCTGCTGCTGCTGCTGCTGCCACTGCCGGTGTTGTTCCCCGGGCAGAAAGGCGACGGGAACAAAAGTCCGGGGGTCCCTCCGGATTCCCAGCATCCCTCCTTCCGCGGTGTCGTCCACCCGGAGGCGGGCGCAGCCGGGGTCGAAGCTTCCGCAAAAGTTGTCGAGGTGGTCGTCGCCGATGTTGTCGCCGGCACCCGCATCGGTTCCGGGAGCGCCTCCGCCGATGCGGGACGGGGGAACCACGATGCGGGCCGAGGGGCCGGACAGAGGGGAAACCGAGCGGAGCGACAGGGAGAGGTCGGCCGCGGAAGCAAGGGCCGGTCCCCGGGCGAGGGACCCCAGCAAGAGCATCGGCAGGAGCGGCAGCCACACCGCGGGCGAAAGCACCGGGCCGGACCGGCACCCCCGGGAGCCTTTTGCCGGGAGCTGCGCCGGCATTCTTGCGTGGTATGGTTTTTTCCCGATTTCTTGCTCCGCCATGTCTCGCTGCGCTGTGCTGTGCTGTGCTGGCCGTTCGTTCGTTCGTTCGTTCGTTCGCTCGTTTCCTTCGTGTTTTCAGAAAGATTGTGCGACAACAGGAAAGACAGTCCTAATGTTTCGGGGTGCTTGTCTTCTCCCCAGTTACAGGATACTGTATTAGAGTTGCGTTTTCATTAGATGCTTGACACTGGCCGCTGATCTAAATCGGTTTACCGGTCGATTTTACGTAGGAACTCGTATCCTTGTACCGGTACGAGGTATTGTATCGCACCGGATCGTACCCGTACGTATCGTTTGGTACGAGTACAAACTCAAGAGGATCGAATTCGAAATTTAGGAAAGACTATTGAAGTCTCTCTCTCATCCCACACTTCACACTGTACAAAATGCTACGGTACGTAATGTACTAGAAGTACGTACCCACTCACTCACTCACTCACTCAAATCACTCACAAGAGAGGTACACTGGGCTTGGAATTTTTATGAATGAATCATGGGAGTCGAAGCCATTCAGCAGCAGAGAAGAATCTAAACAAAAATGTGAGGTCATTCGGTTCAGTCATTCATTCCACCCTCGTGATGGGATGGCAACGGTTCTGYCATTCGTTCCGATCCTTTCCGTTCACGTCCGGATCCTTCCTCTCTCACTCCTACCTGTGCGTACCGTACGTACGAGTACGAGTACGAACATTCGTACCATACCGTACGGTATCGTACCTCCCCGACAATCGGGAAATCAAAATCTCTCACCCGATCCTACGGTACTACTACTCTCTGCTGTCAGTGATCACACGGCAGTATTTTTTGTGCTTTCCACCATGGGCGACAACAGCAACAGCAACAGCAACAGCAACAGCAACACCAACAGCCAGAGCAACACCCCCGGAGCAGCGGGGACCGCCGCGACGGGCTTTGCCACCGCGCTGGTGGCGGGCGGGCTGGCGGGAACCAGCGTCGACGTCGCGCTCTTTCCCATCGACACGCTCAAGACGCGGATGCAGTCCCCCCAGGGGTTTGCCAGGGCCGGGGGCTTCCGGGGGATYTACAACGGGCTGGGAGCCGCGGCGGCGGGATCGGCCCCCGGGGCCGCCCTGTTTTTTTGCTCCTACGAGGTGAGTCGTGTCGTGTCGTGTCGTGTCGGGCGTTGTCTTTGGGTCTGGGTGCGAAGGAAAGGCGAGTCGAGTCGAGTGGAGTCGAATGGAGACGAGTCCAGTCCAGTCGAGTCGAGACGATGGAGCTGCTCCCGCACACCGAGAGTCCAATCGATCCGAGGCATGCATCTCATTCGCGCCTTTTTTTGTTTTGCCCTTGCTTCCAAATTCGAATGCATTCCATTCCAATGGACACCAATCCAATCCATTTCATTCCAATCCATTTCATTTCATTCCAATCCAACCCGATCCGATCCGCGAGGCAGAAATGCAAGCCCGTCGTCCGGCGGTGGCAGCGCGATCTGRCGGGGGGCGGTTCCGGCGCCCCGGAAACCGGCTGGAACAGCCCGGCCCTCTCCCACATGGCGGCGGCCTCCATCGGCGAGTCGGCGGCCTGCCTGGTCCGGGTGCCCACGGAGGTCATCAAGGCCCGGATGCAGACCAGCACCTCCAGCGCGTCCTCGCTCACCAAGACCGTCCGGTCGGTCCTGGGAGAAACCCACGGGAAAGGCGGGGGCCTCCTCGCAAACTGGACGGGCGGGCTCTACCGGGGGTACGGGATCACCCTCCTGCGGGAGATCCCCTTTGCGATGATCCAGTTCCCGATCTACGAGTTTCTCAAGRCCTTCTGGACCGAGACMCTCCGGGACGGGGTCCCCGTCAACCCGGTCCAGGCGGCCGCCTGCGGGAGCTTTGGGGGGGCGGTGGCCGCCGCCGCGACGACGCCCCTGGACGTCGTCAAGACCAGGCTCATGCTGGGGGCCGACGCGGACGGGAGGCCCTACGACAAGGGGGTCCTGGACCTGGTCCGGCGGACCGCCGAGGAGCGRCCGAGCCGGCCCTGGGCCGTCTTTTTCAGCGGCCTGCAGCCCCGGGTGGTCTGGATCTCCATCGGCGGCTTTGTTTTTTTCGGGGCCTACGAGGGGTTCAAGACCTCCCTGTCGCCGGTCCTCGGCTGAGGCGCTTTCGGTGGGTCCGGTGTCCGCGGACGGGCCGGTCCCCGTGCCGTTTCTAGGAGAACCAAACGAAAGACCTCTCGGTGCCATTGGATGGAATGATACAGTTTTGTCGAACCATCGAAACCGCCGCGGAAGGGGCCTCTTTGTCGCTGCCAACCATCGCTGGAGTTGCGCAAGACGAGGCGCACCACGCACGACACAACACAACACAACACAACACAACACAAGCAAGCACACGTGCACCGGGCCCGCAAACAGCGAACTTAGTCGTCCGCGAGTGCAGCATAAATCGTGTCACGGAACGGCGCTGTGCCTGCCGTCTTGTTCGATCGCAAGGATGGTGCGACACGCGCGTTGGCGTGTGGGTTGTGGGGACGATGGTTGTTCGGGAGGGTCTGGTTTCGAGAACGTTTGGTTTGTGCCAAAGCACGGCATGCGCCGTGTCGGGTTTGAAAACGCAGCAGTAGAATAGCCAAARGATGCCGAGTTCGCACGGSACTGTGCACCGGTGCCTTGTTTTGTCACGGAGAATGCCGCTCCGGTAGTAGATCATACATTGTACCTGTTGCCACCTCGAGGCTGCCTGGCCCATGGATTTCATTCACATCGATTCGAAATTCAAAGCATTGCTTTCGGAGAGTGCCCTTCCGGTAGCAGATCCTAGWAGTAATTGATACCACCGTATGGATCTCAGACCAATGGATTACGCATCGACTYGCATCCCAAAGTGCAAAGCATGATTATTCTTATTATTACTTTGATATTTATTTYATCCACCAACAGTATTCTGAAATTTGAAATTTTGCATCTAGATTCGGGAAACTCACAAATCACAGAGCAACTTTCGGAGACGTACCGTACGGTACGAAGTACGAAGATCGTGGTAGTGTATGGTGTCTGCATACAATAGGTACAGTATGTGTGAGTCCACGTAGCCTTCGTTCGTGATTAATTTTATTGCCCCAGCGAAAGATAATTAACGGGCATAAGTGTCGATGCCGTTGAAAGTGCAGATTGCCGTTACGTCTCAACCTTCGCATACAGTACGTACGACTACCATTCCCCACGCAATGAAGTTGTAGAATCTTTAATCTTGATGCTTTTGAGATAATTAMTTCCACGAGTTAAGAGACGCAACGACAAAATATTTTTTTCTTCCGAGTTTGTATGGTACGGTACCGTACGAGACTGTACCCCAAGGACGTACGGTATATATGGCCCGAAGCGACCAAGTAGCCGTTCGTAGCGTACAGTACTCGTGGCACGTCTTTATTTACAATTCAAGGTRTGCAAAATAMGTGGCAGAGTACTAAAAATCGGAAATGGGAAACTACGAATAAAGTTGGAAAACGAAGATCGTCAAGTACGAGTATCGATTTCAACTATTTTCTTGCCACTAGCCGAACAACTTCGAGTGGTACAGGGACGGACAACATACTTCGTAACTCGATTGCAATACGAAAATAATCGTGCAACAGCTCCTTCTCCACCAAGAAACAGATAGTGATGGCACACACACACACTGACCAGTTACGAAAGAAATAGAYCATGGATTTCTTTGCTGGCCAAAACTCGACCAGCAATGGCGGCGCGACGAAAACCGGCGCGGGTGGGATGAACGTCGTGATGCGTCTGCGACGAACGTGGGACGTAAAGATGCCTCCGSCTAGCAAATACGTGAGGAACAATCGGATGGTATACACCGGTCTGGGACACACGAACATCATCCAGAGATCGCGGAAAATCGTGCTTGAAATCCTCGGGCCCGATGTCGACGAAAACGCTGCCGACGACAGCGACAGCTCACTGACCRAAGGCACGAAGCGGAAACCTTCTAGGGGAAGTACMTTTATGGGTGATACGGGATATTTCCTTGAAGAAGAAGAGACAAACGARAGCCTACAGCGCAGAAGGGGTACGTTGCAACGTTCAACAGAAGCTCGGAATTTCATCGATTTAAGTTCCGAACTGAAAGACGATGACTTGGTGGTTGTTCGTATCTTGAAGCCACGAAGAGGCCGATGGGGAATCAATAGAGATCCGGAGGATAGCGACGACGACGACGATGATGATGACCCAGACCAAAATTTGTACGGTAACGAGAAAKCTGCCGCCTTCTCTGTCACCGGCATAATCAACAAAAGGAACAGCAAGCGCAGCTCTCACAAAAAGAAAAGCAACAAGTGGTTAGAAGAGGCTCTGAAGGAGTATTCAGATGCCAACAAATACGGAATATCACGAGAAGAAGACTGGATTGAATATCGGAAATTCGGGTTGGATGAAATMAAAGATGACGATAGACGATACCGGAAAACATGGGAGGCAACAATTGGCATAGGTTCGTACATAGAAAAGCGAAGAATTATCTTCAAAAACAAAGAGCAGGCRGAGGACTTCAAAACAGAGATAGACAACTTGCGATCGTTATCAAAGGAACGAGCTGCGTWTCGCTTGGAGGCATACAAAAAACATCAATTGGAAATCAGAGCAAGACAAGWACAAGCGGTAGCCAATATCCAGAGACCGTTGGAGTTAGCAACAGAAAATGCAGGGAATTGCAACAACAAAACTCCATTCCTTCCTTCGATTCCTGGTCCAAAAACGATTCTTGGTAATTTTGGAAATGCTTTGACATCTGTTCCGAGGACTTTGATTGGATCCTCTTCCACAGATCGTAAGAGCGACCAAAAAAAATTGAAACCATCATTACACAAATCGGCCTCCCTTTCGTTGGAAGATGACATCAATCTACTGGTAGAAATTGTGTCCTGTTCGGATCTACCAATAGCAGATGTCACTTCTACCGATCCATACGTTGTCGTCTTTTTAGGTGTCAACGCAATTCATAGGACTGATTATATACCCAAAGAGTGAGTTTCGTTTTTCGTCCGACTTGACATGGGGTGTGATTTTCCGAGGCAGCAGAAGGCTCTGATACCGATAGCAATACGATGCACTCAAAACTTTTTCCCTTCTTTCGAAAGGCTCAATCCCGTTTGGACGGTTCACAACGGTTCTCTGTTCATGGTTTCGTGCTCGGCGGAAGAGTTTTTTTCTTTTAGTTACGGTCTAGTTTTTTGCGTGAAAGATTACGATCGTGGTAAAAAGGATGATTTAGTAGGCCGAGTTGAATTGACACAGGAACAATTGTTGTCGATGACGGGTGAGCGAGTCGCAATAGAATTATATGTTCCCCAGGGAATGCGCAATCATGCACCGAACAGAGGAAATGATCGGAAAGACCCCTTATATAGTCCGAAGTTGATTTTGCGAATTCGGAAGGCAACGCCGGCGGACCAAAAATTCATCAAGAAATTCAGGGAAATAAAACGCTCAAAACGAGAGGCAGTGTACGTCGACACAACCTTCAATGCAAACGCAGATTTGATGGGGCTTTTRAAGAGGGAATCGAAAATTCTAGATGGCGTTGAATTGGTAAGACGTGTGAGACATGCAGAAAACACCATCATCTAGCTACACACATCGCTAGTAGATGACATGCAGATCGATTCAATYGACGAGTTGACCATTCTAACGCTTTGTCCTTTCGCTCTTYCTGCTTTCCTTTATTTTACTTACTGCTCGAACTACCGTCRATTCTGAAAAGTTTTGTGTCAAACCTGGACCCGATCCCGACCGCCCTGCATACCAAACAAGGTGGATGACCAAATCCGAGATAGCGGTAGAAAACATGAAACCCTCGAGATCTTGGATCGAGTCAGGAAATGGAAAGCTTGGAAAGATTTTTGTTGAAGTACTCAAATGCGAAAACCTTCCAAACGTCATGTTCACTCGCAAAGTGAAGAGTGAAAGGGGGTGTACAGACCCAGTAAGTGCAAAGCAAATAAATCAATTCTGAATCATCCTAGATGAAAATGATAACGTTGGAATAATTCCTAACTCCATGTTTTAGTTTTGYTGTCTAGTATTTGAGGACGCGATTGGATATACTGATGCTATTCGAAATTGTACCAAACCACGATGGATGCCATGGTCGCAGAGAGCATTTGTGTTCAATGTGGCTCACGCAAGTAGCAATCTTATGATTGGTGTTTTTGACCATGGAATCACTGGATACCACCATCCGCTCGGACGTGTGTCTGTAAATGTAACCAATCTGTCACCAAGAACTGAATACGTCCTGTCATTCGATCTTTACAAGTCCGCACTGCTGGACAATAATCGCAAGCCGCATGGAAAGATAACGATTCGGATACGGATTGATTTCAATAATCGTGGTATTTCAAACTATACCCTTGGAGCTGCCAGTAATCTACCCAGAACAAATTRCCTTAATCTGCCAAACAGGTTTGAATTTATGACGGTATATTATGTTTGTCATGGCGATGAAGATCCTACAAGATTTTCGTTGGAAACATTATACGCATATCAAGCTGAATTAGAAGAACATTTTGTACATGTTCATCAAGTAAGRCAAGCGGCCTTGACGGTCATGTTTTGGCGAGGACACCACAAGATAAAGATCTTCGGGATATCGTTGAACGTTCCCATGCACAGTGYAGTCGCATTTCTAATGGGTATTACACTTATCGAAAATCTTGATCTACTGCCTTCCTATTTGCTATTTTCGATTGTGTGGCTCTTAGCTGCAACATATGAAGCACGCCAAGCCCATCCATCACCTTGGGCGGGGTCAGTGACACTTTCTGATATGTGGCAAAGTGCTATTTACAGCAAGAGCTTTCCTCGATCTATAGCTGAATTTGAAAATGAAGAAGCTGTCCTTAAGTACGAAGAGGAGRCGAGACTCCGSTACGAGGAAGAGCAAGAAATCCAAAAAGAACGCCACGAGACCGCCGAACAATTAGCCGACTTATATGGCCAAGGGTCTACTGAACCAGAGGACCTCTCAGCAGAGAGTGCCACCAAGAAAGTTGGAAGTGTCATYATGGATAAGATAAACTCTGTCAATCCTCTCGCAACGTCATTGCTACCAATTCAGACTACGCTCGGAAATACAGCATCATTTATTCGTATATTGCGAAGTATCTTGCTTTGGGATGAAACCATTTATGCCTTCATTATTTTGAATGCTTCACTTGGTTTGGGGGTGTTATTTCTTTTTGTTCCGTGGGGCTGGCTTGTTCGATGGATATCAAGATTAGCGATCTGGGGTTTCCTTGGTCCATGGATGAAGCTTGTCGATTTGTACATTTTACCGAGATATTTTGGTGCAGGTAAAGACAAGGACAAAATACTGGGTGATTATGCAAAAGAGCAAATTGATTCTCTTGGTCTCACAAAAGAGAACACTTTGAGAAAAAGGGAGCAAGTTTACAAACTACGAGCTATGAAACGTTATATGTTTGGAAAGTTCTCAGTTATGGTTCCAAGATACAAGGACTACAGGTATCGCGATACTCCTTTACCTGAGTCGAGTGCCACACCAATATCASAAACACCGGAGATTAAGGTCACGAACACTTGGCCCGGGCAGAATTTAACGGGTGAAATGATTCCTATTTGGGGTGTCAGGATGGACCAGAGAAAGAAAAAAAAGTGAYTCAAGAAAATCGTATCGTTCCAAAATAATATTATTATAAATTTCAAGCTGCYGCGAATACTCTACTTCTCCGTAGTTTTATGAAGAGAATATGAAAAGACAAATTAGATGAAGCGCAGACATGCCAAGATGTAGATTTSTATACTGATATCCTCGTCTCGTTTAAATTAGATATTAATGAAAAACGCAAAATTTGCGATGTATGATTTAGTGTCCATTCGATTTTTACTGTGTCCAGAACGTAGGAGCTCCCCTTTCCCCTTCGGAATGATCACTATTTATTTTTGCGCGGCGATTTTTTCCTTTCACATTCAATTATTTGCCCCCTTCCCGTTCGCTGAAAATGGCGGCGTGATTACGCGCTCCCCAATCCTTGGCAGTTTCCCGAAACTTCCACCTTTCTTTCCAGTTCAAGTAGCTGGCGACTGATCGCTGCATGATGAATCGATTCATACTTCTTTGCCATTTCTTGAACAACATCCTTCCCTCTCACTTCCCACTCCTGTCGGTTTTGTAGAGCATAAGATAAGTATTCATCACTGGACACACCAAAGACTTGGCATTGTTTGATYTTATTTGCAAGGGGAATAATGTAAAAGTCATAGAACCCAAGCTCTCCTTGGTACCAGTAGTCTGATGGATTCTTCTCTGCACGGCATTCCGCATAGGCAACATAGCTCTCTTCGAAGAGGCGTTCATTCCATCGACGRTATATGTGCCAGTGCTGCATTGTGTGAGCGATATCACTCAGTTGAATCAAATGTTCGATCACAATAGTGGATCTGAGATTGCAATCATCTTCGGTAGTCTTTTCAGTATTAAACGCTAAATCCCAACGTTGATTACGTGCTTYAATCAAATCCTTGTCCACAATGTCTGTGGCCATTACGCAATTCACGACCATTTGGCGAAAGAAACGGAATTCTGCAGCAGTGGTATAAATATGACGGCGGAGATGGGCGTAGGTAGGTTCCATCAATAAACACCACCCAACATCAATAGAATTTTGTTCTGCCACTGACTTTTYTTTATAYATAGTAGCCACGGGAGCCTGTTCTTTGACGAGTTGAACGTTTGGTGCGCCTGTGTGGTCAACATCATGGATTAATGCAGAAAAGACRATTGCAAATGAAGTGAATGGATCACTGCAAATACCGTACGAATTATCTTTGCCACCTTCCAACTGATCGTCACAAGATGCGATTCGGTTCAAAAGTTTAATGCAGGACATAGAAACATGAGATGCATGCTCGAAATTGTGGAATGCGTTCTTGCGATACAAGGATGCAATGCYGTAGACGTAATCTTGCAACTCGTCGATAACCTTTTGATCCAACGGAGCCGGGTTCTCCGTCGACATAGCTTTGCTAGCGACGCAGTCAGGAATACTAAGACATTCCACAACTTCATCGATGACTGTTTGATTGGACAGATGCCTCGAATGATTTCCGAGTTTTTGTTTTTCCAATTTCGTAATGGTAGAGAGGTTTTCAGGTTTAATATTAGCGACTCTGCGTTTTTCCGCCATTTCCCTCAGGAGCTTGCCTAGCATTTCAACAACCCAGTCAGCAACTCGGTTCCTTTCTTGCCATCGCTGGCCCCCACACGAGGACCCATTGCTATTGTCGTGATTACTGACAACAACTTCGTTACTTAGAGGCGTGCGTGCCAAACTATTGCCATCCGAGGTCTTAGTTCTGACCGAAAGGAGAAAATATGTTGTAAGTTCTCCTTTTCCTTTTACTYTGACCCTGTCTTGCCTCTTCGTAATCCAATGCTCTTTCCCTGCATCGATTAAAAAAYCTGCTGTTGCTTGTGAAAGCTGAATGCGGTTGGAAACACCCGTGCTTTCCATGCGAGAGGCTGTATTCATGGTATCACCAAAAAGCTGGAAGCGAGATTTTTCTCCCCTCAACACACCAGCCACGACTGGACCACTATGTAATCCAATGCGGAGGCCGAGATCACCAGTATCAGGACCAAGTTTTACCTCCAGTTCTTTGGTGTATATTTGCATTGCACGAAGGCATTCTTGTGCAAACCGACACATAACCGCAAAATGGTCCTTGCGGGGATCTGGAAGACCACAAACTGCCACATAACAATCTCCAACAACTTCGACCTTGAATACACGGCGTTTTTTCGCGATCTCATCGAAAGCTCGATATATTGTTTCCAACAAAGTGAAGACGGCTTCTGGTTCACGAGTCGATGACCATGCTGTGAATCCGGCAATGTCAGCAAACATGATTGTTGTGTTCGGGAATAAATCTGCAATTGGTTTGGTGTCCAAAGGTTCCCTGATTGATAACTCTCTACTATCATCTAAGAATRTAACGAGATTCCGCTTTATGGATTTCTTTTCAGCTTTAGCTTCCAACTTGACATCGACTTGTTCCATGAGTTTCTTTTGGACCATTTTTGGAAACAGCGAATTTACAATAGCGCTTTGGCGCAATGCTGTCTTRAGAAGCTTCGTTTGTCGCCTTGTTACTAAGCAATCGAATAAAATAAAGGCGAGCGATGTGAACACAAAAACCAGCACGACCAATAGGCTAGTAATCCATGGGCGGTTGGATTTAAACGATGCTTCGTACGAARCCGTTGGATACATAGTCATTGTGTATATGCAGATATCTCCTTTGTAGTCTTCACGTTCAACCTTTCGATTGTAAGCTTGAGCGAATGGGGCTTCTATAGCCATATCATCGTAATTGGGGTCGTGCAAGTCCTCTTCCCCTAACATTTCAATGTACGGCCCACTAACACTGAYTGAAAAAATTTCATCGCACGTGTTCTCCATGACAACAATAATTTCGTCGCTATCTTTGTTCATATTGTTTTCGAAGAATTCCGCCCACGGGATAGTAGCCGCMACGAACCCAGCGATCGGAGCATCGTCTTGGAAGTCTCTGAAAATRGGAACCGTTACAACTGTTTGAATWATTTCTTTGTGCTCTTCGATTCCAAACCACGCTGACTGATCACAAACGTCTAGGAAGACGGGTGTCTTGCTAAAAGACAAAAAATTAGCTGCCTTGTTGAATACTCTTCTATCCATCAAGTTGTAGTTGATGATAGGAACGTCTCGGTGTGTTTCGTTGATGACTGGAACTGGGACCATTTGCCAGACGGGGGTGTAGTAAGTTTCATTGAGAGGTGATGCGACTTGGATTTCGGAAGCATCCGCATGGTCGTCCATTTGCTCCATTTTAKCGTCAGTAGCTTTCGCATCCTCTTGCAGCTGTCTACGGTGAAGGTAATCTCCAGAGCAATCATGCGGTCGWTGCAGCCCATCCATATTACTACGAAGTGAACGAGAGTTGATCGACGCGGAGTCGGATTCACTTGTGTTAGTCGCGTCCATCGAGTTGGATGTGGCAAAATCGGGATCGTCTTCCCACTGCCAAATAAAAGACGGGATCTCTGGTGTGATTTTGACTGGACCACCMGGTTGGTTTAATGGTATCCAATTCTTGTGGCTTTCAGAATACTCCACCCATGCGTCATAATCATCGTTCATCACCTTTGGCGCATAAACGATAGCCAATGCGTTTGTTGTTTCCCTAGCTTGACCCAGTTGATATTTAATGTCAGGAATGTCTACAAATCCAGCTGGAGTTTGAAGGTTTGATGATATCCATGCTTCTTTCACGAGTGATGTTGTCGCAGTTGAAAGGCCTTCGAACGTTGCAAACACATTATCGATATTGTGGTTTGTGTACAAAGCCAGTTCTTCTGATTGGGACTCGAACTGAGCAACGAACATTAGTCAGTAATCAAATCAAATTAGGGAAAGCGTAATTTTYAATGAGCCGATGCAATCATCAAAAAGYATAAATCAATAGCGCAATAAAATGGCAAACACGGTAATCACTAGGCSAAGCAAGCATGCGTACCGATYTTTTGAAGTTTTCCTTTTCTTCTATTTCGTACAAAACGTACGAAACTACAGCGCAAAGCAAGGCAGATAAGACCAATATAGAGAAGAATATACAGCGAGATGCCGAAATATACCTATCCGTATTTACACCACTGTATAGCATGCCAGCATCCCGTTCCATTCCTTCGGAGAATTCCGTATCGCGCTCGGTGCTGTCTCTGCGTGAAAAGTCCGAATCGCTCCGGAAATAGTTGTTGTCATTGTCGTCGAACATCGAATCWCCCGATCCGTTGCGAAGTGGACGTACTGCCCCACCGTCGACCATTGCTTGTTTCAGCTAAAGGATCGAGTGCCGCTTGATTAATTTTATGGAGTGTTGGTTCTCAGCAATCCTTCGTGATTTGTAGTGTTGCAACTTCCGCCTTGRCTGTTTGTGTTCGTTGAAAYACGATGAGGTGAACGTTATGCGGTTTATTCATGGATGTGAGTGCAGTCGAAGTACCWTTAGAGCAACGCAATCGTTAAATGTGAAAACTGTTTGAAGAAGAATGAGGCAGGAAAAGTTATCGTTATGTCATAAAGGGTTGATGACCGGACCAATGCCTTCTACTGTTCTTGAAAAATTGGACATCCAAATTACACTCTTTACTTCCTTAAAGTACGAGTATGAATTCGATTGCTTCTACTTAGTACAGTACTAGCTTCGTTGTCCGGCAACTGAAAAAAGCTGCCAGCTCGCCTTGAAGAGACWAAGGCACTCGTACTAATTTAAAATTGTGAAAAAGGAACATACGGTAGAATACTCACAGCATTAAATGCTCTCATTTTGTAAATGGGCTTGGGTAGGTCACTACTGCTTTGTTCTGGTTTAAGAAACGCTCATAGACATGAAAACGGGATGAGTGCGAACCCCATCGCATATTTATTAGAATCATTTATGTTGGGCGTCCTATTCATTAGGATGGTTTGTTGTTTCCAATACCAGCACGAGGTGCTGGTGTCTTACATCGCGCTCCATTAAAACAGGTTATGAGTCATATTTTTGCAAGCCATTTGTTAACCAGCAGCAAGCTTTTTTTGCTTGTTGCTGCTACCAAAGGACCAAACATAGGAGTAAGAGAATCTTTTAGTCAGAAAGGGCTTTATTTCCTCTTACTGTACATGTCTATTTTCCAAGTTTTTTCCCCAGAGAACCTTTTCCAGCTTGTTGATTTCTCTGCACACAGAAGCAATTTGCAAAAAAACTCGTCATTAAAGCAAAGAGGGGGAACAAGAACAACACCAACCTCAAGGAGAGGGACCTGTCACTCCTCCAGTTCAACACTGTGCCCTCAACAAAAGATGCAATCCRTATAAAGCATTTATTCATTGCAACTTGGGAGAGGGGATCTGGAAGTTAGTGTACAAATTGATTAACCAAGTGCTTTCTTACAAGAAAGAAAACCACCAACAAGAGTAGTAGATCTTGTAGTAACAAACAGCAGCAGGTAGGGAAAGTTGCCATGAAATACTAGTAGCAGCAAAAAAGAATAACAAGGAAACAGTAATGAGAGTCAAATCCTTCCTCCAAATCCAACAAGCATTGGAAGGGTTCCAGAAGTTTCAGATAAATTCCAAAACACTGGTGTATTACTGCAAAGAAAGCAACTCCTGAAGAACAAAATAACAAAGCCCTGTAGAAAATGGTTTTTAGGGCCTAGCTCCTTCAAGCATAATCATGGTTGCAGAGTCAACAAGAGCAACAAAGTCATCCAGTCTTTCTAATTCTCCTTTGTTCTTTGCTAGTCCTGTTCTTGCTGCTGGCAGTGACAAGAAAAATATAACCAAAAGGCCCCATACAGTTGATGTTGATGCTGAAGATGCAGTTGACAATGGCTACAATGGTGAAGATGAGAAGAATCCCAGCAAAAAGAAGAGCAAAAAAGAGATTGATAGAAGTGATACAACTATACAGCATCATGCCAGGTTAAAGAGTCGTGAGGGATCAGCAGGAGAGTGAGCTTAAGGTCGAGGCATTACAGGCATATACTGGTGCAATGATTGCTAAGGTGAAGTATCAAAAAGAAAATTTGCCCAGTCAGATGTATTCTTCCATTTCTAGCATTGTTAAACAAGCAGCAATGCCCTTTACAAGACAGAAATAAAACTATGCACTTGTGAGTGCATCAAAGATGTTGCCCCCCACAAGGCTCCTAATAGTACTACTATTCTTCTGCAGGCAGTACTACTAGTAGTAGAGTGTGCAGCTCTTGCTGGCACCAGAGGAGTTCCCAAAACTGAGGGTGTAATAGTGTATGGTGTTATAGTTTATTTTTTGACTTGACAGCAGTAGGTTGACCACTTGGGTGATAAATATTGAACTGTTCTTCAAGTACTACTCACCATAGAAATCTTACCACTAAAAATCCTGTCTTGCAATATAAGATGCCAGCACTTCGTAAGTACTGATACATGTAGTAACACACTAGTACTAGTAGTACTACTAGTAGTACTAGCTACTAGGAGCTAATGGAAACTACTAGTATTAGTAGTAGAGACACTTCCAGCTTGAACTAAATATTTTACAGGAAATGAAATCTAGTAGTAGTAGCAGTAGTAGCTGTAGCACTACCTTACTGCTGCTAGTGCCTGCTGCTGATCCTCCTCCTGTCACAGCACTACTAGTACTAGTAGTGGTAGGAGTCATAGTACTGCATCATCATAACTAGTAGTAACATTCTCCTCACCGCGATCATACTACTTTGCTTGTCCTGCAGCTTTCTCTCACAATATCACATAACTTAAAATGTTATCTATCAATTAGCATGGATTCCATCCCAAAGTAATGGGTCAAACCAGTGTTTCTCTCCATCCAATTTCTGGACTGGTATGGTACCATTCATTCTATACTGAAAATGCCTGCGATTCATTTTAACTTGCCCATTGCCCATCCTCCTTGTTTGAGAGAATCAGGAAGATGCTGAGACCATCAGATGAAGTATTTCGAAMTATCTGMAGGAAGTTGCCTMAAAGGATATTTTCCAGCCCTTCATTCCAATATTTTTCAATCAAATMATYGTCGCTATTTCCTTCTCATTAATATTCAGACTTCAGTCCTTGRTGCAGATGACGACTCCATACTGTTGTTTTTGCTAAGTTTGCAGGTGCTATTTGAATCTTTTCGCATCGGAATTGTCGGTGCTTGGTTGGAAATTTCGTCTTGCACGATCTCCAATGTCTGACTTGACGATGGATGCATCGAGTGTGTGACTGTGGTGGAAGAGGATGGAGATTCCAAGAGGGGAAGATTTTTGCACGGCGTAGAATCTGAACTTCTTCGCTTCGGTAATGCRGGTGGTTGGTTTGATGACTGCGATATTGATGCTGATATAGTTGAAAAAGAATGTCGATTGGAAAAGCGAGTATTCGTTGCCGGCAAATTACTTTTGTGAGAAGAGTACTTGCGTATCGGGCATGTTGGTGGTTCATTAAYGTTTTCTTCTGGGTATATTCTCGACATTGGATTGAAGTTTGGCCACGGAGAATCTAAATCTGTTCGCAAGGGGATTTCGGGTGGTTTATTATTTTTGACACGTGGTGATGCATTAGTTGATGACGATGAAAGACATGCATTCCTTCTGCTGATGTATGAATCATCATTTTCACTGTCATCAATTCTACAGTGTGATAGGAACAATTGCTGTGCRTCTTTTGTACTTGCTTCTCGACTTTCCTCTTCATCTTCAGTGGGGCAGAGAGGGGCAGATCTCGATGCTCGACGTGCCGGGGCGATTGGTGGGTCTACCGACAAATTTCCCGCTACTAAAAGATCTCTGTGGCTCCCACCATTACTGCTTCTGCRGTATTGGTAGTGCTCATTCTCGTTCTCGATATGCAATGCCGTTACATTTATTGTTGACTYTGAGTTTGTTGTGGCGGACAAAGCAGTTTTTGTGGTTATTGTATTTATATCTTGGTTTGTTCCTGAAGCGATTGATTTGGATGATCGGCCACCAATACTGACGGCATCTTCGGCAAAGGATGCAGTATCGCCAGAATTAKAATCTCGACCGTCGAATATCATATTGTCAGCAAATGATGCAGAATCGAAGGAGTTGGACTTTGAAGCCTGTGTATATTTTTTGTTGGAAGACAACTTGCTTGTGTGAGAAGATGATCGCTGAGGAATTGTAGGCGCAGCAGCGTTGGCTTTGGTTACAGTACGGCCATCATTTTCRGTACTGGTATTGATATCGGCGGCTGTCATTCCTCTCTGATTGATGTTGACGGAAACACGCCTCCGAGGAATGACGGGTGCAGCAGTGTTGGCAGGCCGTTGTCCATCTTCGATTCCTGCCTTTGAAGTTTCATTTAGAGAGAAACGCTGACCTCCCATCAAACTAGCTGTGTGAAGCAATGCGCTATAATTGTCTGCCCAGCTAGAATCATTGCTGTCCATTGTATGTGCGTCGAAATCACTAGTAAATTGTTGATCGTCCGTAGTTTGTGCGTCKAAATCACTCGCAATGTGTTGATCGTCTGTAGTCTGTGCGTCTAAATCACTAACACCTTGCTGATCATCTGACTCGTACGTAATATCTGATAGTTGACTTGCTCGTCTTCTTTCCTGACGGTTGTTGCTATTTCTATTGYTGTTGTCTCGCGACCATATTTTGCTYTCTTCAAAGAAATCTCCATCGCAACTGGTCAGGGTCAAGCTGCTTGTATGATTCTCGTGTGTAAACTCAGCTTCCTCAGCCTTTTTTTTACGTTGAAGAGAATCCAATGATAACGATCTATGATCGTCATTGTCGTTGTCATCATTGATCTTATCCATTTTCTCGTTTGAATCGGAATCAGTGACTGCATTTTCATTGCCTGGGATTGACGTGTTCATTATTACTTTGGTGTTTCKTTTCTCCCTCTAGAGAAAACTTTCGTATCCCTTCGAWTGCATCAATTTGTCTACACTGTCTGTGTTTCTTCTGCCTTGCTTTCGGTTGCAGTCTAACRTAGGGTCGAATAGAAAAGTTTGTTGAAATGGTCACATCAACAAGGATAATACGCGATGGCGATACAGCTCATGCTTTTTTAGAACGCGTGGTGGCTATCAAGTGTTCTGTACCTATTYCCCCCGGATGTGCCCCTAGTAAGCACGTACAGAAAGGTCGGAAGAAATACTTACATCAATGTTGTCAAATCATAGTGCACAGTTCGGAAAGTCCCATCTTTCAAGATCACTACTGTAAACCCGTTCAGATTTGTTTTTAAACGAAATAGCGCATTCAGTTTCAATCTACTCGACGGCCGAGGGACAGACGTGAAAGAATGTTTGGAAAACGACTACAGTAAAATAATACCGGTAGAAGTAGATTGCAGGGACGTTTCGACCGACGAAAATTAGATTCATTTGATCTTTAATTCTACCGTACTTCGGTCAATAGTGACAGGTTTCGATATTTGACACTTTGCTAGAGGATTGTACAAATGACATGAGCAGTTCGTTCAGAATAAAAAATACAAGAAACACATCAACAAATACTTTTGTACAGGTAGTACTGTTGCTTAGACAACTCCGGCGCCAGCCAAGGCACCCGCGCTGCTATCGTCACCAGCAAGTGCGTAACCAATTGAGACAATCGCCAGCATGTCGACGCCAGCTGCCACTTCGACGTGGGGACTCATCGACATACCCGGCATGTAGGCTTTTGCTACCAGGATTCCATCTTCGTTGGTGCTTGAAACTTCCTTGAAGAGCGCTTTGAAGCCCATGGAAGAAAGTCTCTCGCCAACATAAAGGGGCAGGAAATCTTCTTGACCCTTGACGATCCCGTACGTGCATACTCCGGTCGTAAGCTTGCGGTTCACTTCAATCTTGGAAAATTTATACAAGAGAATACCGGAAGGTTCGTCTTTCTTCGCGATTCCTGCCTTTTGTAGGTCCTCTTCGGATACAGGATCTTGGCCGTCGAAAGATGGCTCGGTTTTCAAAATCCAGTTTGTTGAACTAGTCATTGCCTTTTTCTCMGTGACGATAATCGCCACCTGACTTCCGCCGGCATCTGTGATGACAGAATGGCATTTGAACACTCCGGAAGACTTGGACGTCCACAATAATGATTCGCCGTCCGTAGTCACCCATGTTTTGCCCTTATTTTTTATCTTCGTAATTCCGCCTTCGTTGGAAACAAAGGGCTTGCTGATRAACCTTCCTTCGTCTTTGTTGAGGGTTCCCTCGACTAATACCGCTTCGTCGATTGCTTTTCCTGCAGCGTTACCCATTTTTAATTTTTTYTTYCACTTYAATGAAGTTTTGTATWTTATGAGTGTGCGATACGAGACGAACCCGTGCTTAGTTTTGTTGTTGTTGTTTTGATTCTTTTCGAGATCCCGATACATTTTTGAKCTAGCGTTCAACGGTACTCGTACTAGTTCGARTMCKCAGTCTCTTCGAAAGATCGAGTTGCAAAATCCTTTTCATTATTTGAGTACTACYGKTACGTACTACSGGTATGTATTCGACAAAGATTCYATTCTTTGGAATSGTATCGTGAAGAGTAAGGCTYTACAAGTATGTAATTATTTRAGCGTTCATCTGTAGRTTAAAAATCCAACGGATGAGACTCATGCGCTGGTATGCCAGTTTTCATTGGTTTATTAATGTGTTGAAAACAAAAAAAGACCTCGTGTTTGAATCGTGGACCAAGAACCAGTAGTATTCTGAAGTACAGTACTTCGTTGTGGACGGATGACCCCCATGGTAACTATGATCGTTGTTTTTCATGTGAGAACGTGACCGATTAACTCGACGAATATGTTGGAATTTGGAATTTCTCATTTGTTCTGAGTTCTGATGCGTACTCGTACCTTTGAGGAGGTACGTACGTACCACACCCTTCAACATGAATTCAAATTATACTAGTAGTAGTAGCTCACAAATCACAAAGATTCGTCGACACTTCTTGTTGTTACTGAAGTAGAGTCTACCAGCAAGAATTCAAATTAGATCCCTACTACTACTATAGTAATCAGGGGTCATTCTAGTACTAACRTACTCGGACCATATTGAACGAGTATCTGGCATGCAGTAGCAAGAACAACAACAAGAAGACAATTGAAATCTAATGGTACTTTTAGTAGTAGTACTACTAGCAATGCTGATACTAGTACTAGTACTACGATGTAAGATTGCAGAATTAAAATATTTCCTAATTACTACCGGTGCAGTACTTATTAGTAGTCAAATTCCTGTTTAAAAATTCAATAATGAATCCCTGACTACGCAAACAGATCAGCAAACAAATAAACTTGTTAGTACAAGACGCTTTCCAGAAAAAAGCAAGGTTTTTCTGTTTCTTCTAGTAGTAGTACTAGAATCTGTATAGATTCGAGTTAGATGATAGTAGATGATACTACTAGTATGTCCTCTTCTTTCGATTCATTGAGTTATATTGAACGAGGTAAAGCATTTTCTCGGTTTAAATGTATAGTACTAGCTGCTAGATAATTTCCTCTGGTCGCATGTTGTCTTTCATTGATTCTAGCCTTCTGTGTTCTATATCTCMTTGCARTACAGTTTCCATCCGTAGTATTGAGAGCTCCGCATCTTGTCATGACGAWYACTTCTGCATGGTATGCTTTGTCCAGGAATATTGTTTTGTCTTTTCCTGTCCTGCCTAGTTTTTGTGGACAGTCACACAAGGACCGTCCTCTTTTTTGTGAATACCATCAGTCGTCCTCTCCTCAAACTCAGCTCCAGCCATCGACCGTTACCAACTACTTCCTCGCTGCGTTCCAGCGGCCATCTAGCCAAACGTTCTCTTGCTGTCCCAACTATGGTCTGGTTGGAACACYGCGGCGATCATTCCGTAGTACGTCGCGTTCCGGTTCGCCAGCACCCCCGAGCGAAACGTCCTTGCCGCCTCGATGCCGTTMTCGCGGAGATTCTTGCCGCCGCCACCGGCTCCTGCGCCGTTTGAGGAAGCCGAAGCGGCATCTCTCGCCGGTCGGCACATCATTCCGTGCCACAGCACGTACCCGGTAAAACCACAGGACTTTGCCATCGGTTGCATTTCTTTGGCCCGTCCCAGGAGGGCAGCGGCATGCCCAGGATCGCACGGATCCGAACGCAGGGGTGGGCCTTTGCCGCTATTGATATTGCTACTGATGGTACTACCGCTGCTCTCGCCGGCCCACATCCCGATTGCGGTGTCGTATTCTTCGCTTGCCGCGGAATACCCTAGGGGCCCTCTGCCAGGTGGGTGTGGGACAGGTCTCCGGAAACGACCACCGCGATCGGTTCGGGCCGGCCCGCGGCCCATTCCGCCAGATCGGCGCCGACATCCAGGAGCTCGGGTACCATCTCCGTCGATTGGTCGTACCGGCGGTGCGGAAAGGTCCACACCAGCGGCAGCAGCGGTGCTGAATCGAGCACTTCGCCCGGCAGCAGGGAGAGGGGAACGATCTCTCCCCAGCCGAGCGGAAGGGGAGAGCCCTCGTCGAAGCCGTAGATGGCCGACAYGGGATGCCTCTTCTCCGAGCGACGCAGGGTGTCCACCAGGTCCTCGGCCATGACCTGTGGGGCCAGCGAAACGTTGTCCAGGGTGACGTTGTACGGTTTGTGCAAGCAKGTGTTGTTGGTGGAATCTGAATCGGGATAGGGGTGGTAGCTCAGGCAGTCCCTACCGATCGTTGCACTTCCTCTGCCCCTCGAACYCGCGTAGACACCGTAGTCGTAGTCGAGCTTGATCCCGTGGGGTGTGGTCAGCAGGACAACAAGGGGTTGTTTGTTGTTCTTTCCKTTGGACGAAAGGTACCGGCCYCCCGGTGGTTGTCTCTCGAGCTGCTCCCGGTGCAGCTCCACCAGCCAYCGACCAGCCTCCCGGGAGCCTAGCGCCACTTYTTCGGCAGAGGCGCGCTGGGGTGTCCCCTCCGCGAAAAAGGTTGGGTCCAGCGCGAAGTCTCCGTGGGGGAGAAGAATCCCCCCCACCAGGACGGCGTCGGCGACATGACCGAGCSTGAGCAGGGGATCCGCGTCCAGGAAACAGAAACCAATGCATGCCAACACTGTGCCAATTCCGAGCCGAGCCATCCTAGGTTGCAGTTCTGGTAAAGTATGGTGGAATGGGATTAAGGATCATCGGCTTCGCACTCGGTTCTGTGTTGTGATGGGTTTGTCAAAAAATCGGAGTATCCTCCCGAACGWTCCGAATACTGTACATATTATGTACAAACCGAAGTAGGTACGTATCGTACCTACGCTTCTGAGCCTCTGGAAATTAGAARTCAGAAATCCACCCTTCAAAAAACTTCGTGCCAAGAAATGCGCTTGCCATGGCGAAATTAGCATTTTTAGTACAGTTGAAGTACGTACGGTAGCGTACTGGCCTGGGTTACTTCTGTACCGGTATGACTGTGACTTCTACCGGTACGATAAGTACAGTACAGTACTTCATACCTTACTTTCCTAAACGAAAGTGATGAAACACTGAACAAAACAAAACCCCTGCGATTTCATGAAATCAATTTCTCTTCGAGAACCCCGAGGTTACTACATTGTACGGTAGGTGTTTAAGATATCCTCTGTTCCCAAGTACAGCAGGGCAACAATCATACACTACCGGACCTAGAATGACGAACGAAAAATGCTGCCGTAATCTACTGTTTTCGATCGTAATGGCGATCTTGATCTCCACAAAGGTCCATCAACTTTGGATCCTGACGAAATACTCCCTTCCGCAAAGCACGCCGTACGAGCTCGACATCGCCAAACCCAAAACCCCGAGCTTTCCTTTCCTGYCGCAGTTGGGGCGGAACGAGAGCTTCGGGGCCTGCCTGATGGTCAAGGGGGACAATGACCTCCTCACGGAATGGATCCCCTACCATTACACGGTCTTGCCGTTGCGACACGTTGTGGTGGTCTCGGATGCCGGAAACCACGAGCGTCCGGTCGAGGTACTGGAGAAGTGGACCGAAGCCAACACGGATCTCGAGTGGTGGGTCGTTGATTACACGGTCATCGAGGATGCCKAYAGTGCGTTTGACGAGGAATACGCAAGGCGTAGGTACGAACAAAAAGCCGGTAGGTCGTCGTCGTCGAAAAGGACAGCCACCTACAACGCCACACACGCGTCTCCCGKCAAAATCGGCAACGGCATCGACGACGATCCCGARMTGATCAAGGACCTCGCGCACCACCACCTGGTKCACAAGCAAAAGGTAATGGTCCGTTATTGTGCAAAATTTATGAAAGAAAGGGGAGTCCACTGGGTGTCTATGTTCGATACGGATGAATTCTTGGTCGTCAACCGAATGGAGACGGAGGAAGGAAGSATCCCCCAAGCCAAGAATTCTACCACCACAGACTCCAAAACGGATGCCCSCGACGAGAAGTACGGCCCGAGGCCGTTCCTTCCCCCGATGGAATCCAACGCTACCGTAGTGGACATGATTAGCTCGCTCAAAGACRGGGGGCGACCSCTCCGGTYCTGTCACACCATGCCAAGGGTGTCGTTCGGGGCCAACGAAAACTTTACGTGCCCCGGTTCGGTGCGCATCAAGGATTTTGCGAGGKCSAACTTTCGCTACGAGCGCCTTAGCACCCTCCGCTTCCAGAAACACGCTAAAACGGATGACTTTTCGAAGAACCGGTGGGGGAAGGTGATGGTCGACCTTTCGCTTCTGCCAGAAGYGACCCTCTCGAARRTGCCCCCCAACATCCACCGGCCCTTCCATGACGAGTGCACCCGACCGTTCGCTTTCGTGGAAAAAGCCCCCTTTTATCTCGCGCACTATTCCGGGGGCTGGGAGCGCTTCGAGGCCAGGGGGGACCGGCGGCGGGGCTACGGGGGATGGAAGRAGCTGGCAGCCGTGGGGGACTCGGCATCGTGCTGCAGGGAAGAACTCTACCGGTGGCTCCCGCGGTTCGTCGAARCAGTCGGTCTAGATCGCGCCAGGTTTTTGCTGGGGGCCGCCGCGGCMGGGCAGGTGAGCATTGCTGGAGCGTGAACGATTTTGCAAAAGACACTGTGTCAGAACACAGTCCAGGGAATGAGTAGAACACTGTAACTATACTGGATTACTGTTGTAACTGCAAGTTAAATTCCACAGGACTTCGTCACGTAGACAGTCTCAACATTCACGGTTTGAAAATATGACAATCCCATGCGTATTTCGACGTCTTGTACCACGACAATTTCGGGAAACGGGAACTTGAAACTCAATCAACAAATTTTCGGTGTGCGAAGCTTCCATTTGAGTATGTGCACTGGTAGTAAAGGGAAGAATAATTTTGGTTTGGAGGAAACCTATCCGATATTTCRATCGCAAAGGAGTTGATCGATTAGTCCGTTCGACAGTAAATGATCCATCGATTCGATTCAATTGTCCYGCTGGACTCAGCAACGAAGTTAACCATAAAATTAACATGATGRCCAAGAATGATTGGTATAAATGTCACAAAACTATTTCRAAGCCAACCACTAGAGTATATAGCTAGCTAACTGGACTCGATTCCGACGACTCTGAACCCGAATGCAACACYCKGAAGGCCCTCGGACAGAGATCGTTCAGTCTAGCGACCGATACCTTTGCAATCTGGGTGCCGACATCGGGGTGACAGGACTGGCACATCCCCAGGTCTCCCTTCACACTCAAAAAAAGAAAGCTTTCCTCGGGGGAAAAACCCCACTGCCCCACCAGGATCTTTGCGGCTTCCCTACATGCGATCGAGGTGGTTTCGGGAAMGTCGCAGACGGCTACCCCGTGGGTAATCCAGTGCGTCTCGGTTTCCGTCACGGGGTATTCGAGTCTCTGGTCCTCTCTGCTACTTTCGTCGTCCCCGTACACGTCCTCTTGCTTGAGTACCTCGCATCTCAGCAAAACGTCCCCCCCGATTTCGATGCCCGTTCCCGAGATCTCACCGTCGCCCTGGGAGGCGTGCATGTCGCCCATCGATAGCAGAGCGCCCGGGTGRTTCACGGGGAAGTAAATCGTGGACCCGATGCAGTTGGCCTTGTTGTCTAGGTTTCCCCCGTGYTTTCCCGCGGGAATCGTTCCTATGGGATCGTCTTCCCCAGCGGGGGCGACCCCGATCACGCCCAGCATCGGTGACGCCGGGAAGGAAATCGGACCTAGCCGGGACCGGGATRGTGTTGATTCCAGGACAAGACCTTCTTTCACATCGCTTTTGCCGAGGTCCCTCATTGTTACGATTTCGCCACACTGGGAGAGATCGAAAAACCGAATCGTAGTGGACTTGCGTTTCATCCAGCCGCAGAGCTGCCCGGCAGAAGATCCACAGCAGGCAATCCCAATACCCCGCGGGCGAATGTCTAGCAGTGTGACTGCGAGAATGTCGCCYGGTTCTGCMCCTCTCACAAATATGGGACCCGAAATGGGGTTCCGTTTGTTTCTAGGAATTTCGTCGAGAAGGCTGCCATTCAGAAAGCTTCCGCCGCCACATCCTTTGCTGTCGTCGTTTTCTAGCTGCGTTGAAGCCHGCTGCTTGTAACTTCTCTGCCTTTTCCACGAAGACAAGCTTTCCGGTTGCACCCTACCGTGAAAGCAATCATTTGTTTGAACATGTACCAAATCTCCCGGATCAACAGTGACAACGGGTGGRACACAGGATGAAAATTCGAATTGTACTTGTTCTCTCGAAACGAAATGTTTCGCTTCGGGAAAGATGGCTGATTTTTTTGTCGTCATGATAGTATTGCTTTGATAACTTCATGAACTCATGTAACACAMTATAAGTGTCTAAGCTGCCAATATTGCTTCTGCTTTCGAACTCGGTTCGTCTCAGAAACAATCACCCTGCCAGTAGATTCTTGATACTGGTGCGTACATGTTCTGAAAATCTTTTCAAATTCAAATTCGAAAGAATGAATCATGAGCATCCATCAATCCTCTCGATCCCGAGGTATGAGTCCCACAAATCATTCACGCTTGGAATTTTTAATTTTTTGCGTCAAGATATTATCTGAGGAAAGGGCAGCAAAGATGATGTGCTTTGTGCTGYGCATCGGAGGATCTGCCTTCCAACGAAAATAGCTAGTATTCGTGTAGTGGAGAGATGTACTATGTAATGCACAAACGAAAGGCAAGCTCTTGTTTGCTTTTGTTTGTAATTGTGAGGATTGTTTTGGATGCTCTATTATTTCAAACTATCTTTTGTTGCGGTTAGGATCTTGGTATCAAGCACTGAAAGAGAGTATTTCACGCAAATCGTTTCCGTCATTTTGGATCAGTTAGAGTGCTTGCATCTCTGCAATTTTTTGAATAATTCCCTAGAACACTCTACAATTGTGGCTCCGGACCAAGAGACAAGGTTGTCGCTTGCGTTGGAAATCAATGTCATATACCTATTGTTTTCGCGAGCATCGTAGCGAAATACTCCACTTCGTCTATRAGATCTCTTGTTTTAGTRACAGGAACTGCTCGGTTGCTGGTATCGATTTTTGCGCGCTTCGCCGGCGGATTTCCTTCGACAAGGCCACCGGCATCCGTKGGGTTTGAATCGAGAGAGGAGGAGACGCTGGCAACAAAGGGGACCAAACCAAAGGATTTCCGGGTGGGGGTCGAGCTCGGTGACTCGAGCTCGACCTCGATCTCGGCTCCGTACARGGTCAAACCCGAGTCGTCGTCGACGCTACAGCAAATTCCGAAGCGTTCTTGTTCGGCAAGGGATCGCTTGATGCGTTCGCCATCGGACGTCCAGGAGGCGTGCTCTACGAGTTTCTGGTCCACCAGTACGCTCGGCGGYGATGCCAGCAGGAACGACGAAACCGTCTTTTTGTCCGAAACACCGAGCTTCGCGGCCGCCTTCTGCAACGCCAGCAGGTCCAGTTTCCCCCCCGCCATTTCGGGAGAAGCCTGGATGCCGGTGGCTACCCCGATGGCCACGGGCGACAACCCGTACAGCACCGCCATTCCGCAGCAAGACATAAGAGACACCTTGACGTCCTTGCACGCCAGGCCGATCGCACGCTGCCGCAGCAGCGTGCTTCGGTCGTCGTGATCCTTCCAGGCCCCACCGACGCCCGTCCGCTGTCCCAGCACGTTCATCGACCGGCTCAGGGACTGAAAGGCGTCCCGGACGCCCCGGCCGCTCCCAAAGACCGCGCCCGCCGCCACCGACTTGGAAGAGGAACGCCGCCGGTGCTTGGCGAGGTTTGCGATCCGGAGAAGGGTGGTGTCGCTCGCAGCTCGCACATCGTTGCAGGCCATGTGTCGAAGCAGCGACGTGCTCCCCGAAAAGGTCGGAACAAAGGATCCGGTACGGGAGTCGCAGGTCAATCGAAACAAAACGACGGGTGTGGGAGACGACAGGATCGGCTTTGCGGCACCCCTGCTTGTTTGTGTGGCATCCAAGCCAGYCATCTCGTTGGGTGCAGCTGCGGATGGGGCTGCACTTGCGTAGTATTGGATTTTTGCGGCCACAACGATGCTCCCCTTTTCAACCTTGAGAGTGATCCACGATGGCAAGACGCTCGGCAGTACTTCTACCATGGCATAGCATTTCCGTTCGGCACAGAGTATYGTAGCTGCCAGGAGAGCCTCACTCGCCGATAGGGCAAAGGGATTCGAGGTCGCTTCCATCAAATCAGAAATCGTGGATCGGACGTGGCCACTCTCCTGGTTGGAGGCAAACTCCATTATGGAATCGGCACCGCTCAGCGAGACCTTGATCCCGGCGTCCTGCTCGGCCCGGACCGAGAGCGTCAAGCGATTCGTCACGGCGGGGCTGTGAACGTACCGGGACACCGTCGATACCGAATCGTTTTCGGTGCCACTGTTTCCGTGGTGGTGGTTGCCCCCGTTGATTTCCTGGGGCTTGTTGGCATCGTCTTCCTCTTCGTCGTCCTCGTCCAAGCGGACCAGATCCCCCATCGAGGGCGGCCCGTACCGATCGTCGATGGCCCAAAAACTGATCGAGAGGACCCCCAGAATKCGGCTGGTCCGATTTTCAAAGAATTTGACGGGCGTGACCACGATCGAGTAGCCGGCCGAAGACACCAGTGCAGCGTTGCCCCGGGACAGCCCAGGGACCGCAATGCCGCCGCCCTCGCCGTTTCCCCAGTTTCCCTTGGAGAGTGCCTTGGCCTGTTCCGACAATATCTCTAGCTGCCAYGACAGCGAGAAATACTGGGCCACTCGGAACAGGGCATTGAGGGGTTTTGCCACCAYCATCGGTGGTGGTGGTGTTTGTGGCTCGGTGTTGGACGATTGCTGCTCTTCTTGTTGTTGTCGTTGTTCTTCCCGTTGTGTATTTYTCCGGAGCCTGATTTGTTTTTCTTCCCTCGTCATGGCCAACGCGCACAACCGATGGAGGTTGTATCGTTGTTTGTTGGTCGTATCGAGCTGGTGATTGGATTGCCCGGTTTTTGCCTGGGCGCAAACATCCACGCTGATCAGGGTCCATTCGGCTTCGTCTGTGTTGCTTTGGTCCCCGGACGTTGTTTTGTTCTCCGARTCTGCGTTGCTTGGAGGCTCGTTTCCTTCCGTGTCCGTGCTTAGGACCGTAAGGATCGCTTCCAGGGGATACAGGGTTTTTGTTTTCCCCGTAGAGTTATCGATGGTGGTTTTCGGTTTTCCGTGCATCAGTCGAACGATGCCACCCCGCAGGGAGATTTTCCACGGCACCCTGCTGCCGGCTGGTTGTTTTCGCCCTGCCATCCACCCTACTTCTCCCAGCAGCAGTTTTCGTCGAACCGCCATTTGCCAGCGGTCGGAGACTTCTTGTTTCGACCACTGTTTTTCGACGCTGGTTTCGTACCGATCGGTTTCCAGTCGCAGATCGGATGGGAGATCGTACCAAAAGGACGATCGCGGGGCCGTGGCGGGGTTGTGTTCCTCTTCTGGGCCACTGTGGTTGGTGTTGGTATTGTCGTTGTCTTTGTCGTTGTCGTCGTTCGCATCGGATCCGTCAACAGCAGGTTTTGTCTGGGAAGAACCTTGGCTGCTCGAGGTCTTTGTGGTCATGAAATCCAGAGCCCCGTATACATCGTGCGGACCGGCCCGCAGCGAGAACAGGCGTCCGTGAAAAAAATAGAGGGCGTCCTGGCACTCGTCGTTCTGGATCCAGGCCGTCCGGGCGTGGGTCAGGGCCTTTGTGGAAACGTCCACAAACCGGGCCAGGTTGGCGGTGGGGTACTCGATGTGGTTGGACGCCGTGAGTGCCGCAACGTGCGTGAGCGCCTTCGAGTGGCTCGCCAGCCGATAGGAGAGCTCGTGGCGGCGGGCCGCAAAGGAKAGRTTGGACATCTTGTCCTTGCGCCGCACGTTTGCGTTCGGSTCGCTGCTCCCGCCGGGCGCMGAGGYATTCGCGGTCCCCCCGGCTGCGTTGTCTCCCTCCAGGGCCGCCGCGCCTCCCCCTCCCCCGCCGATGATCTGGACCTCCCCGTGCGCCATGTCGTAGATGTCCCGGTASAGRTTGTCCGTRCACGCCGTCACGACGGAGAGCAGCGGAGCGGTCTGCAGGGAGCCATCCTCGGGATTCAGGATCAGCTCGAGTTTTTGAGGCTGCACGGGCTGGTTCTGCTGGGGAGATGGGTGAGCAGCCGACGAAAAGTACGCCGTGCCGCTTCCGTTGCCGGCATCGTCCAGTGGCGATTCTATTGAGTTCATCGAGTGGTTCGTTTGCTTTTTCGTTGGTAGCTGTTGGTTGCGGTGGCACSAGTTATTCCACTGTGTCCCAACCGCTAGTGCAGCTTGTCTAGATTGTGRGTCTGGAYTGGATTGGAACACTTCTAGCTCGGTTGGTTTCTGGTATCGTACRGTACAGTACTGGCGCTACATATTCCTGCGTACCATACGTACGAGAAACTAGCATCTGGATATCGTAATCGTACCGAACGCACGGCGTACGGTACGGTATGGCAGGATTCTGGACTGGATGCCGTTGATTGATTAATTGATTGTCGATGGTTGAGTCGAATGAATCAAGRTAAATCATTCGCGCTGGGTTCGTGAAACTTTTTTTTCGCGCGCAGGATTTTTGCCACGAAGCAAATCGCAAAYAATCTTTCACCCACAGTACATACCTTTACGGAGATTCTTACTTAGAAACCGTACGTTTTACGTGAAGGTTTCAGTACATGGAAAAAATGAAACACGAATCAAAAAATCTTCCAGCAAAACCTTCGAAGACACAYTTACAAGTTCCGATTGGCCATCGTGGCTTTGACGCCAAAATCGAAGATTTTCGAATTTTCAGATTTATTTTGTTCCGAAACTTTCGACATTGGTCGTTGCTCTCACAATTCCAGAAATCGATCACGATCAATCCCCATCAAAGTGCATTCCCAAAACAACCAGAAAGACGATTTTTGTACCAAGCAGATATAGCTACACTACACATACAATGAAGATTTCCAATAACTACTCTTTCGCCCACGGTGTGACGACTCTTGCAATCGTCGGTGCCGTCGTTGGCACCGCGAGCGCATTTGCCCCCGTCCACCTTCCTTCTACGGCTCGTTCTGCCRTTCCTTCGGTCTACGGCCTCGTCCAGGATTCCGGGTCCCCCACCGTCCTCCACGCCAACCTGTTCGATMGGTTCTTCCGCGTGTCGAGAGCGAGCGCCAACAACGTCCTCGGGCGCTTCGAGGACCCGGAACAGATCATGACACAGGCCCTCCAGGACATGCAGAACGATCTGGTCCGCGTGCGCCAGACCTATGCCGAGGTCACCGCCACGCAGCGCCGCATGGCCAGCTCGAAGCGCCAGCTCGAGTCCCAGGCGGACGASTGGCACCACCGGGCCCAGCTGGCCCTCAAAAAATCCAACGAGGGACTGGCCCGCGAGGCACTCGCACGGCGCGAGGCGCTCCTGAACCAGGCCGACGGAATCCAATCGCAGATCGATGCCCAGGCCAACAACATCGATAAGCTCTACGAGGGAATGTCGCTTCTGGAAAAGAAAATCTCCGAGGCGGCCAGCAAGAAAAACCAGATGGCGGCCCGCGCCCGGACCGCAAAGTCGACGCAGAAGATCAACGACATGCTTTCGGGRCTCACGGGCCAGACGAGCATGGATGCCTTCAATCGCATGGAAGACAAGGTCCTGGCGCTGGAAGCAGCGGCAGAGGTATCGGCGGAAATGGCCGAGACCACCATGAGCAGCAATGCGCTGGCCCCCTCCTCGTCGTCMGGAAAAGGGTCGAGCATTGAAATGGAATTTCGCTTGTTGGAGGCTTCCGATACGGTAGATAGGGAACTGGAAAAGCTGAAGGCAAACATGTTGCCAWCTTCGTCGGCGACGACAGGTGCTGCTTCGTCGGCTCTGGAGAGACATCCGGTGAAGGAATTTACAACCAGAAGTAAYGAAGGGACCAACATGAAGATCTGATTACATCCATTGCATGACGATACTACAATAATGTACTTCCATAGATTGGCTATAATAAGAGCTTTTAGTGAAAAMTTAATAATTGTATATGTATATGAAGTATCAAAAGCAGTCCCACCAGTGTACTGTCTACCTCGTGCCTACTCATCGTACCTAYCGTACCGTACCCTCCACAATTTAGTTGCGGCTCGTGGCCTACTTGCCKCATGTTATGAGCTCCYATRTACCTTGATAGCYACAACTGCTCGTGCATTCATCAATGAATCATAAATCTGTACGGGACGCGACGGGTGGGTGGATGGGTTTGGAAACTCGTGCCTTGTATGAATCATATTATGGAAGCACGAGTAAGAATACAAATCTAATTTTTTCGTTCAAAATGGTTCGTACTAAGCATAACATAACAATTGAAATACGGCACTGCAATTGCTGCTTGGCATTAATTTTTAACACATGGAAATATTTTATTACCTTGTAGAAATTGTATCTTTTTTTARAAAATGATGCAAGAATTACTTAATGACTTCATTAATGACTGATTTGATTACTAGGGCTATTACGGTATAATAGTGATATACCATAGCCTTCAAGCTCGAACAACATGAAATGTCTTGAATCATCCCATGGTCCCGTATTCAACGCTCATATGTAATTTTTTTAGATAAAATTTATTGGTACTTGAAGATGAAAAATACTTCGTACGAAATAATATCAATGCACAACTCCTGGTGCTTGAAGCCGAAATCTAAGATGCTCAGCATAAGATCGCCACTTTGCTACAGAACATACGGTAGAATTAATTTCCACGCCCCTTCCGAATTCCGAATCTCAGTCGTGAAACAAGTTGTCAACGACAACGACATAAAACAAAAACAGAAAGGAACCAAGCTTCAAACACCAAGTACACGATGGCTGACACCAAAAGCAACGTCGTCGAAGCGACCAAAGTTGATGCAGTAGTTCCCGAGCCCATTGTGGCCACAACTCAGGGAAAGGACGCCGGCGTTATCGCGGTAGGAGGACCTACCGCTGTTGCAACCCCGGAACGCAAATCCCATATCTGCTGCGGATGCTGCTGCGATGTGCGTACAAKTATATTATTGATGACATCCATTTGTTTCTTGACCAAATACGAAATATGCTATCACACCGATTGTGCTTCTTACTAAATTCTGCTTGCCTTCCGTTCTCTTCTAACACTCGCATCTGAATGTAGGTTCGCCGTGCAACGATCATCGTTGATATCATTTTTGTTTGCTTTTCTGTGATTGATTTCGCATTGTCCTGGGCTGGTGTTGGAATCGCCAATTCGATGGTCGTCGAGGACGATGAAGTACAAAATGCTTTGGATGTCGCTAGTCCATATTTTCTGGCCCTGGCCATTGTATCTAGTCTCAATATCGTGTTCGCCATCATCGGCATCATTGGTGGAGCAAAATTCAACAAGTTYCTGGTGCTTGCYACCGGTGTTTGGTTATGCATTTTAGCAGTGCTCCAGATTGCTCTGTTTCGCAATTACCTCGGATTCATTGTGCCAGGTCTATTTGCGTACCCCCATATCGCCTTGTATATGGAATTGAACAAGGGCATCATCACACCTGAAACYTATGAAATCGAAAAACACTCTTGTTGCTGTGTTTGAGTTGAGATGGGTCCTTTTTATTCTTCTAACTACTGTACAAGATTCCTCGAYAGTTATCTTTGTACCAATCTCAGCATCAATGTAACCAGAAAGAAGTGAAAAGATGGTTTGTTTAGTTTGTGCCATTTTACCGTGAAATYCATACATACTCGACTAGTATAATGTCAATTAGCAGTACATATTGATACAAGTACATCATAACATCAACTACTGTTTATCTCATGCCAAAAATCAGTGTAAGAAGAGTRGYATTTGCTTTAAAAATGTTTAAGAGCAAATATTGAAAGTGATCAGCCAAAGGCACGATCAGCCAACTCCCTTTTGTTGTCGTAATATAGTGGAAAGGAGATTGCGCTTTCTTCCATTCTTCTGATTGATGTAGCCGCTTTTCGTACTCTCGTCAATT